CGTTGTTTTCAAAAATATTGTTTGTTAAAACTCGTTTATGACTGTTAATTGAAAGAATTATTTTTTTTAACATGAAACATTCTGTAATTATTCAGTCAAAAAACTATTCCAATAGCTTTGACAAAAAAGTACTTGAACTTAATGTGGGACTTTCTAAAGTTACGGATGAGCTCTCGTGAAATACGGGCGTGACCTAGGTTTTCAAAGTTATTTTCTGGGTTTCGTACTAAAAATAGAAGGTGGGGGAGGGAGGCTGGCGAGAAAGGCTCCCAATTTAGCATTAACGCGGGCCTTCCGATCAATGGGGAGTGTTTTCCCTCTCAGCGCTAAACCGATAAATGTGTCGGCTTTATTGGAAAGAGAAAAATATGGCATCAAGAATCAATTACAAACCATAATGGACCTAATAGATTTTAAATTAAGATTAGGCTCCTTCGGGACAACTTTTACATTGTTCTTTAGGAAGTTTTCATTAGGGCGAGGGGTGTCACTGGCTCGTAATATTTTGATAACGATACTCTCAAGTCATAACTGAAAGATACGCCTATCTCATTTTTCATATCCTTTGTTTTGCGAATCGTATTTCAAACATTTGGAAAATGTAACTGGATGGACTTCAAAAGGGATTTAATTAATGCAAAGTTGGCTGTATGTTTCCGCTAACAATCTCGGCCATTCAAACGCAGGCTTCCCGTACTTCTGCGTCGGCAATTACAATTTGCCGTGCACGTAAATGAGTGTATTGATGCGTCGGGCAGAGAGAGGTGTATGGAATCGGGGTGCCGGTGCCGGGCGCTCGCCGCGTCTGCCCTGACACAGTTTAGGCGCCGGCGCGGCGCGGCGCTGCACCGCTCAGCCCAGCCAGACGCCACGCGGTCGCCATCACGGACGCTACTCGCCACGTCTCAACGATCTCGCGAACTTCCCGAATAAGTTTCGGATTCGCCTATTGTTCGGACACAATAGCGATGTGCGTTATCTCGCTTCCATGTCAGTGAAGTAAACAATTCTGATTGAAAGTGACCCTCTCGAATTCCCTGAAGTGAACGAGTGACGTAAGGATCTTGATCTTGTTGAACTGTTCCGGATTAAGAGTTATCGGACTTGATCGAGCTATTTTATAGCTCGTTTTTAATAAACAAGACTTCAAAGCCGTCAAGCTGTATTCCTTCGAAAGTTTCAAGGTTTACGAGTACGATGAAGATATAATGTACAACGGCCACGAGGATGGCTTCGGTACGACTAAAAGAAGTGAGTCATTGTTTTTAAATACATTTAACTTTTTGTCTCTACTTTCCTTATTTTTGGATTATTTACAATAGATTAATTTGCAATGTGTAGTAGGTTAGGAAGTAACACTTGTAAAAGTTCGAATGTTTACAGGAAAATATAACTGTGAGCAGAAATTTTGTTGACGAAAGTATGTGTAACGTTCTTCGTATGGGTACTAGATGTTTTTGTAAGTTAGCTTTGCTATCAGAATGAATCAATTTACTACTTTTTAAAAACGGATATACACATTGTTCTTCGTAAATCCTTATCAGGTATTGATAAAAAATCCTTATTGGTGATCTCACTTCGCCTACAAGAGTAGATACTAGAATAGAACTGTTTGGTAAATTTAATTAGTCCTGCCTGTTTCTGACACTAGTTAATAAACAAAGGTGGACTAGATAACGATATTGTTTTAAAACAATCGGAGAGGAGGTGCATCACGATTTATTGGCCAGAAGGAGGTTTGTGAGGGCTTGTCGTGAGTTAGCCAGCTCTCATGAAAATTTAATGACACAACTTTGAATGCCGCACAATCGATAAAGCCGGTCGTGATATTTCACACACATAGCCTCGTTATTAACTTGAGTTAGATTATTGAGGGGTGATTGTGTTAGAAATGTTTTGACCTGAATATAACTATCTTACCTGTGCTATACCGGTTACTGTGTCCAGGAAATTGTTATTTTAAAGCCTACTGTCCCATCTAATATCTGTCTTGTTTACCTATCTGTCCATTGCTGAAAAGTTGTCTCACTCTATTTAAGTTTCCACCTACCTTTGATAATGTATGTCACACAATAGCAGTAATTCGTGAACGTATATCAGTTATTGTATGACTAATTAATAAATTAGCAACAGCAGCTGTCACATTCCCATTGTAAGGGGAGTGACGTTCAACGTTTAAAATACATCATCATACCTTGCTGTCATCCGCACCTGTATTACGTAAGCGATTAGCGATAATATCGCAAGTATGATCGAATTCACCCTTGAAGAATGAGAATTTGGATTTCGTTTAATCGTATCGTGTTAAAAACGATAGAAATCAGTTTAATAGAGTCGTAAACTCGCAATCACGCTCCCCTTTCGTCGATGTGATGTTTTACCATACGTAGTCTGCATTTTTTGGCGAATTAAAGAAATATTTGAATAAAATTAAATCAAGGTATGGAGCTTCGGGATTTTTTTTTATAAAACTATATCTGCTTTAATTCGTTAGTGGACAGTTTAGTCTCATTAAATCTAATCCCAGCAATCATACATAAAGCCTTTTATTGGCTCTTTTTAGAAGAACCTTACAATGATTCTCTACTTTGGCGTTAAGTTATTATAAAACTATAATAAATGACGTCATTTGTGTAACCGTTTTTATTTGGAGTGGTCCAACGTCACCGCTATTGGTAGTGCACCAACCTGTTTCTTATTGCTAGAATTAATCATACGTCGTTTGACTGGTACTGTATGCTTCAATGACTCGATCGCTGATTCGAAACGTTACACATCAAATAAATTAGAAAACTGATTTCTATTTGTGTTTTGTTATTCAATAAAATTGCTGAAATTCGTTTAAAGATTCGCAGAACAATATGATGACAATACTGTGCGGTTCTTCTTTAATGATAGAGCTTGATGAGTCTTCAGTAGGATCGAAAAAAACGGGAAGAATCAGGAGAACAACCACGTAACGTAACTAAATAATAGTTGGACGTGTTAACGAATATAACTAAGAATTAGAAAGAATTAAATAGAACTAAACGTGAAAGTTTATCTAATTGCGTGTTTAAAGATCTTTAGACTTTTCTACATTCAAAATTGGCAATCGGGTGAAAAGAGTGACAAATCTATGCTGCATTCTAATATCGAATCCTTGGGTTAAAGACTTTATGATTAAATTCTACTTTCAAACAAGTCAGTTATTATTAAACTATAGTATGACGCACGCACTACATGTTTATAATACAATTACCAGTTTTAACCACGTTGACCTGTAATAAAGCCGCGTTAACCCCTGACGGACGATTAAACATTAGTATGATAAAGACTATAAATAATGCATACGACCTTTGTGGGTGGTTGTGCCTATCGATCTGTGAGGTTTCTGCTCGTGCTACCACGTGAAATGGAAAAATAAATAGGTCTTGGTGTTTGGGATTCAGGAGAAAGTAAAATGTCATCTATGTAAGAAAAACTGACTAAAATAATTGGACGTCAATGATATTGCAAGAGAGTTTAATTGAAGCTACCTACTTAACAACAATACAGTTGAAACAGTTTGATAGATCAAAAACATTAAAAACTCATAATACGAGTATAATATTAAGCTTATATCTTTAGTAGAGCTAGACTACTAAGAGACGCATCTTTACTGTCGGCAGCTTACTAGGTAATTTAATATTGAATGTCCTTAAGATTAAAGGCGGTCATCGTTAGCAACAGTTGGTGGACAATTTTAATTGTCTAATCTTCTTTTTCATCATCATCATCATCATCATCATGTCAGCCATAGGACGTCCAATGCTGAACATAGGCCTCCCTCAATGCTTTCCATGTTACCCGGTTAGTAGCGGCATTCTTCTTTTTGTCACTTAATTATTTAGATGACGCGACGCTTCATTGGCGCAGTCTGAGCATAAGACGACCTATTCTGTAATTTATTGAAGTTACGTTTTCTTTTCTTCGAAACCTGGAGCAAACCGCAAACAGTATCGAAAAAAAAACCACATCTGAACACCTAATTACGATCAATAATGAAATGAACAGATATTTTAACAGTTAATGAATCTTAATTAAAGCTAAATTAGTTGTATTAACGGTGCTGGAAAATCTAAAATTAAAGTGCAAAAATATACCGTTAGATACGTCCGAAGCCGGGAGCAGAAACACACATTTTAATAATTCATAACGTTTCTGTTAATTTTCTATAATCAGTAATCATTACCTTCTGGGCATTACAGGAAAATTATCCTCTAATCTGATTTTAAAATCCTCGGAAGATTGAATCAAATTAAGTAGAGATGTCAGCTATAAGGAAATTCATGGATGATATAATTGAAAAGAGAAATTTAAGTAGAAAGTTACTGCCGCGTTGCAATTAAAATCAAGCAATAACAAAGCAAATGTCTTACGTTGCGGTTTACACAACAGCAATATCAATAGCAGAATGCAATAACAGGCATCTTATTTACTGAGGCAGATTCGAATCTGTTCGCAGTACGACATCTCGCATTATTATAATTTAATGGAACATGCACTGCATTCGACGCAGTGTTCAAGTAACCCAGGGTTGCCTATGCAAAGTTTTATGACCACATTTTAAAGATAGCAATACCAGAATACACAATTAACGGACAAACTGAAAACAAGTGTCAATGAAGCCAAACTAATTGCAATTTAATTATTGTTCAATTACATAATTCAATTACTTCAATCAATTGCATTACAAATATAAAACAAAACAATGAGTACCTGCTGTATGTAATTAGTAATTTCAGATAATAGTAGCGCTTCTTTAAACGATGTAAACAAGACACTAAGAAACTCAGAGCTCTATTTAAAACTCTCCATTCCAAAAAATCAGGACACGTCCTGGGAGAACAACTCGATGACAGCCCTAAAGTAACCAGTTAAGCAAGCGCGGAATAAGCGAGCGAGCAAGTACGCCGTCATCGCAAGATAAGAGTAGGTGAACTGGTGAACGGGCGTTGGCACTGGCTTGTCTGTCTGGCCGGCCAGTCCGCTCTGGCGCTCCGACTCGAATACACGGCGTATGCGCACCCGACGCACGATAACTAGGCCGCTCTCATGTGATACACCATCTCTCATATCATGGCAGAAGTGTGCTCAGTGACCACTCATATATAACGGCCCGCGACCGACCACCCAAATGTGAACGAAAATCTGAAGTGCCGAATTTAATTTAGCCAATTTTATCTATGTGGGCTACGTGATAAGTGTCAAGTGTTAATAACATTGTTTCGAATTTTGTCACAATATACGGATATCCACCGTTAGGTAGACGTTTCTTGGAATTGTTGCGAATTTGTTTTGGTGAATGAGTCAGTTAACAGGCGTCGGGATTGTTAACTTCGTCAACGTGCTGCCTACGATTTCTGAAGGTAATAAAATGTTTTATCAAATCCGGTATTATTTTGGTTTAGAGCTTACAACGAAATTCATGATTCATTTAACGTTAAAACGGCACGTATTTTCCATTTAGAACTTTGTGGTTGTACACCAAGTTGGTCGCTATTATTCATAATAGCACGCTAATGTTACAATAACATTTTCTATTCTTTGTTATTGAAACACCGTTATCATTGCAAACAGCAAATCAGGTCTAGTGAGTCATGTTGTACAACAGCCACTGCACTTTATGTGATTCTGATCGGTGCACATTTCATCTGATTAAGTGTATACTCTATTACGTGTCAGCTGCTGTTTGAATGCACATGCGTGCTGGGATTGTTCTTTGTTTATATAATCTGCCCGTACAATCTTATGTAATTCACGTAATCAACAAATTGTTGTGTTTGCAATGTGTTAGGGTATTTTAGTACTTAACTTCAATGAAAGTAATAGAGGTGTAAGTATTTTTGTTGGCGTTATCTCGTCAAGCATTTGAGATTCCTCAAGAATGAGTCAATAAAAGAATTTCCCCACTCATAACAGTTGCTTTGTGATTGCGGTTTTTGCACATGCAAATAAGTTTGTCTTATTGGTAACACCTGATGAGCGATGATATTGCTTATTCATATACTCCGTGAAAGTTTACTTTCTTTTTTCGCAAACAGCACCATTCATTACCATCTTATCTCTTCGGAAACGTTTTGTAGCGTTATTAAACGCTTTCTTACTTCGGCTTTACGGCGAATCCCCCTGTCAGAGTATTTCGTGTCCACTTTTCACATATGGTATAACATGTAAGAGCCTCCAGCCAAGTTGTTGTAAAGTCCATTTTGGAATTGAAAATTATTTTGGAGCAGGTAGCCGATTTTGGGTAAACACCTGTTTATTTGGGCCTGTGGCTTGCGTGCCTCATCTTTGACTTTATTAGCTAAAACAATCAAATTATTATGTTAAGAAAATAAAAAAGTTATTCTAGATTGACCACCAGTTAGTAATAATCTGTTTGTTTCAAGTTTGTATGCGGGTATCAGTAGCGATATCCTTTTCAAGAGAACTTACTACCAGTAATATAAAATTAGAATCTAAGGATGACTTTGAATAAACGTCGATCTTTTGTTGCCACAAGACGAAACAGGTCATAAGCATCGTACAAAAAACGGCCATAGTTTTCGACAACCGTTTGGAACAATGATTCAGACCCCTAAGCACTTGGCCTTGATGGTATCCGCCTGATTCGCAGCGATCCAGTTGACATTCGGCGCATGAACAGGTGCGCCGGCGCCGGGTTCGATGAACCACACACCCGAACAATTTATTTCCTTTAACTCGCAATCGATCTGCGTTTTAAGGATTTAAGGACACGATTCTCATATAAACACCAGGAGAAATAATGTTATAATATCTCAAGTTGGTAAATGGAAAGCTTATTCAGATTGTGTATTATTTAAACAAGTTAAGATTATTTTTGAACCGAGACAGAAAAATACCTAAAGTACTTTACAAACTAGTGAATAAGTGTAAAATACACAATCATTGCGTCTCTAATGTAAATACACCAATCTTACAAGATAAGTTGACAACTCATGTCTATCGTTGCACGATTCTCGATTGCTATGAACTGTTTCTTCATTTACAAGCTAAGTATGGGCGGATCGCGAGATGCTTCCATTGTATTTTACTGTTTCTGGAAATACCCACATACCGTTTCCATCTATCGCTGTCTCGCGACGGGTTCTCGACACTCCATCGTTTTTGCTCATGCAACGATTTCAAGCCGTTAACAAGAAGTTGAACGGTTGCATTCTACTTCAATTGGATAGCATCGATGTTGCCAACTGGTCGCACTACCCGCTGTTTATGTGGTACTAAAAAATAAACTACGCCATATCATTAAAGTACGTGACCCCGATGGTAATCTCCGCGTAATGCAATCCACAGGTATTACAATTGTGTAAATTTTCTTCGTTGAAATTAACTGGAGGTTGAATATCGATATTTGCTTTAGATATTGGTGAGTGGACGCTCGATGCATTTTAATGAGTCTGTAATGGTTTAGAATTGAATACATATAAGATCTATATTTGCATACAGTGGCAACATTATCTTCTATTGTGGTGAAGCCTGGCCGTTTGGCGAGCCGTAACGTGCATGTACAAATAGTTGCAATTCATCAGTGTCGCTTCTAACAAAAGTCTTATACTCTGTTGCCTACTGCGGTATTGCGACAGACCTTGGAAGGCCACATCTCAACGGCCGCCCTGGCGTGTGTACCGCAGTCAATGATACGCGGTTGTACCTAGCTCTAGGAAGTTGTTAAGAATAATTACCAGCAATTTTAGATGCGGCAAAAACTTGTCCGCTTCGTGTGAGTACTGTTACTTTACGATTTAACTCACGCCTTTTAAGGGTGTTAAGTTTTAATGTTGCCATGACAAGTTTTTCAATTCTTGTCCTGTATAATATTTTTTATGTATGATCCGAGATACCTTACAGACAAAATTACAAATGTACAAATTGTTTGTTGTCTTTATAGTTAGTAAAAAAGACTCTTCATAATTTTTTGTAGAGCATCATTTTATAGAATGTCCATAAGATTTCTAAATTCGTTAATCTCACACCGGAACCCATGGCCATAGGGAGAGAACTGAACGCTTGGCTGGGCGCGCTGCTTGACCACGCCTCGATGCGCCTCGGGCCACTTTGATATGGAAACTATTGTACAGTCCACATCACGTCAAATCATACATTCCTGTTGCAAAATAGCACTTATCACAACTTATTAAGAACCGTAGTGTTTATGGGCCTGTCATCTGCACCACTTGCATTAATACTACTCCCACTTTATATCTCTTCTAGTCACGAATACTAGAATGCAAGATTGCGTTTAGCGACGTATACTCGTACAATGCGAGAATGGCTTTAGCTAACACTCCAACGCTCTACATTTCTTATTTATGCAGATGATTCGACATGTTCTCCATTAAGAGGCTTTTATTTTTATTTAACGTTATATGCAGTCCAATTTGTCATGAAATTCCGCGTATGTATCCGATGTTGAACTGACCCAGTAGGCAGTGTATAATTGAGCTCGAATTTTGCATGTATTCTCTGGATGTTATTTTATGGTATCATCTGCTTGTTCCGTGTATTCATGTATAGGGATAAAATTACGTGTAGGCTATTTTTTATTTACTTTTGTAAACTTGTCAGTCAAAGTTTCTCACGCAAACAAGCTGCAACTAAAAAGTTTCGCTTTATTACCGTAATTAGAAATATGAATTAGCTTGCGTGAAAGCAATCTTGTGACAATCACTGAATAGCCAACTTGTCTTGCTTTCTGCTTTTGTGTGAGATGTACGTTTTAAATTTTAGTTTTGAACACGCTAATTCAAATTTCTAGCTATAATTCATTAGCTATATGATTTTATTATTCAAGCATTCTGGAAGACGCTTTCAAACTCCTGGAATGGAAAGGATTCGGCATAAACATTAATGGCGAGTACATCACTCACCTTCGGTTTGCCGACGATATTGTGGTCATGGCAGAATCGTTGGAAGATCTTGGCACAATGCTCGAAGACCTTAATCGAGTTTCCCAACAGGTAGGCCTGAGGATGAACATGGACAAAACGAAGCTTATGTCGAATGTCCATGTTACGCCCTACCCAGTTTCAGTTGGGAGCTCAATTCTCGAGATTGTCGACAAGTATGTCTACCTCGGACAAACGATTCAGCTAGGTAGGTCCAATTTCGAGAAGGAGGTCAATCGTCGAATCCAACTCGGCTGGGCAGCGTTCGGGAAACTACGCAACATCTTTTCGTCCAAATTACCTCAATGCCTGAAGACTAGAGTGTATAACCAATGTGTGTTACCAGTGATAACTTATGGCTCGGAAACGTGGCCTCTCACTATAGGCCTTATACAGAAGCTCAAAGTTGCACAGCGTGCTATGGAGAGGGCTATGCTTGGTGTTTCTTTGCGAGATCGAATCAGTAATGAGGAGATCCGTAAACGAACCAAAGTCGCTGACATAGTCCGACGTATTAGCAAGCTGAAGTGGCAATGGGCAGGGCACATAGTACGCAGAACTGACGGCCGATGGGGCAGAAAGGTTCTGGAATGGAGGCCGCGTACCGGAAAACGCAGCGTGGGACGTCCACCTACAAGGTGGACCGACGACATCGTAAAGGTAGCAGGGAAGCGCTGGACGCAGGCCGCTACCAATCGATCAACATGGAAAGCATTGGGGGAGGCCTATGTTCAGCAGTGGACGTCCTGTGGCTGAAATGATGAATGATGATGATTTTATTAATGCTTCGAGAGATATTATGCTAAGATAAGTCGATGTCATTGAATGAATATCAAACATTTTGTATCCACATAACCATAATTTTATTCACATAGTTCTTTCAGTTGATGAAAACCGCATTAGAATCCGTTGCGTAGTTAGAAAAATCTAAGCGTACATACAGTTAGTGTAGAGATAATTTAACAACTAATCACATAACCTAGTTCTAGTTACTTTCTAGTGTAATGCTACTTATGCGGCAGTATTTATGTGTTCACTTTTGCTTTGCATATCCCCAGTCCCTGGGTAGCGTGATGTGCAGTAATAAACGGCGCCACAGTTAGACAGCGCGGGTTAAGTCAGCATTTACATTACAATTGCCCACATTGTGTGCAGGGTCGCAGGTTCGAGGTCACGAGTCGTGTGCACTCGGCTCACTTGCTTCAATGAACGCTTTTGTTCCAAGTTCCAACGCTTTGCATTTACTAGAGTAGCGTTTTCTGTTTTTATACAGCTTTGGGTCGTTAATCTGTGTAGTAGGCTGCCCTTATACAGCCAGTCTTTTTTATCGGGAGATCATTATTTCAAAAGCTACGGTTTTAAAATGAAATTGAAAAGTATTATGTAACTTCTAAAGTGCAATTACATGTAAGTGTTTGCTAATTTTGGAAAGTAACTGATCCAATTTGGGAATTCGACTT